ACCTAGTCCCATTTTGTTGTGAGCCAAGCCTTTCCACTGATTTAATCTGACTCATAATCTGAAGGTGTTGAGAAAACTTTCTGCTAAAAACCATGATGTGATACGGCTTTTAGCAGATGAGAAGAGGGGCTGACGGGGTTTGAAACTAGCACACTGGCACAACTAGCACCGTTTATGTGAGGAGCGCATTCTTGGGTACTCCGTGGGGGTTTCAGGATGGTGGGCGCTCCTGGATGATGGTGACTCCTTATGGCATCTCAGAGATGGAGCTCTTGTTTTGGTTGTTTTTGGTTTGATTGTTTGCTTGTTTTGCTGCTTTTCTTCCTTTGGCCTCAGCAGCTACTAGGGAGATTATCGTAACTTTACTTGGACTGATTTTATATTTTTTCACTCCAGATTTTCATTAAGTCTTTGAGTAGGGACTGAATAAGGAGAGACCTGTATTCTCTCAAAGCACAGTGTAAATCAGATGAAGTACAATAAGAACAAAGGCAAAGTGCTGTGCTTAGGACTGAACAATCAAATGCCCGAATATAAATTGGCGAACACTTAAATTGCAATACTGCAGAAAAGGATCTGGGAGCTGTCGTGTGAAAATGAGTCAGCAGTGTGCTGTTGCTGTTGTTGGAGTTGCAAAAAGCCAATAGCATACTGGGATGTAATAACAGAAGTCTGGAAAAGAGAAGCTTGAGAGGGGATTTGGTAAAAATCTTCAAATACAAAAACTAGTTATAAAGAGAAGGGTGATAGACTCTTTTGTGTGTCCACAGGGGACAGGAAAAGAAGTGAAGCTATTACATTGCAACCAGGGAGATACCAGCTGGATAGCAGGAAGAACTGAGGGCCGCTGAGCACTGGAGTGGATTAGTGAGAGAGGTTATGGAGTGAACTTCTGCACTGGATGTTTTTAAGTGCATGTTGCATGAACAATTGGTTAGGATCCTTTAGAATCTGGACAGGAATGATCCTGCCTTGGGCAAGGGGCTAGGATAAGTTCTCATAGGCCTAACTTTATTTGTTAAAACCAGATAGATTGCCATCATTACAATAAAACATTTTGTTTACACTAATTAGTCTGCAGTGCTGAGATGTCAGCAGTCTGAGGAGTGATTATTAATACCGTGTGAAGCATGTTCTCCCAGATTGCTGTTGTATTGGATGGCATGCATTCTGAGACTTGACGTGGCCACGGTCTAATATAGGGTGTTTATCAAAAAAGAAATAAAAAAGGTATGGCCAGAGCCTCTAAAACTGAGAAAATAATTATTTTCCTTGTTGTCAACAAGCTCCTTCAGGCTCAAGTGTTTACATAGCGTGGTTTTCTTGAAGCAGCTCACGCGGGTATCTTTGCTAGCAGTGGGAGCGACTGCTCAAGTGGTCGCTGGCTGCCCCTTCATTCCTCAGCACTGGTACCCCGCCTGGGTCCCTGTCCATTTACAGGATCTAACTCAAAGTGCTCTCCTGGTTTTCACAATTCTGCTTTTTCCCCCATTCTGACGTTGCATTGCTGGCCCTTTTTGAACCCTCCTAGGAGTCTTCTCGGTTGTTTGGAGCTATCACTTTTCCTCTGTCCTGACCCATTTGTCTAGAATTCATCCTTTTCTTCTCAGACCTGAATTGTTAATTTTGTGTTTCTGTATCAGAATGAATTGCACTGGAAAAAGACCTTTTGTTAGATCATATTTATCAATATTTAATATTTATGATTCAAACAAATGCTGCAAGTTTTGCTTTTATGGACTTTCAAATTGGTTTTGCCATCTGGATGAACTTTTACATCTCTTGAAACTGACAGAATCTGATTCTCATTCAGCCATTATGTTTCCCAAAGCTTAAATATTATTCTCAGAAATCTCCCCACAAATCAAATGTTGCATTGAAAGATTTGGATTTCCTATTTTCCCTTGCCAAATAACACCATGTTCTGTTCATGCAGTCTCTAGAAGAATGTCAGGGTATTAAAACCTTGGAGAGCTTGTTAAATTGTTCTGTAAGTGAAGAGCTAGTGAGGCATAGACTTTACATGCTAATGAAAGTATTGATACAGAGGAGCTATGAAAGGAGAAAGAGAACAGGTACTTAGTTTGCCTTACTGGGCATGCATTCGATGGACATTTATTGATAAATCCTGAAATATTCAAGTATTTGACTAGATCTCTAAGTTACATATCATAAAACGTATCGTTAAAAATCTGCTTTTATTTTACTGTGGTGCTTTTTGGCCTTTGATTTAGAAATAATAACTCTTAACAGCTTGTAGTGTTGTCCGATAGCTAATGATCTGGGTGAGAGTGATTTTGGTGGAAACAAATGGACTTGCAAGGCTGAGTCATAAAGTCTTTCCATCTGATAGCAAACGCAAATGTTTGCTGTGCCAGTTGTCTGACCCAGGAGGAGCACGCTTGCTCTCGCAAGTCCGCGACACAATTCCCACCCGGGTCGTCAGTCCACAAAGGCCATCAGCACCGGCTGGTGGCGGTCGGGCAACCTGGGGTAATCAGCTGCACAACTCTGTCCAGTTTCTTGTGGACTGGTGCCACCGTGACAAGGGCTGGGCTATATTCAGTGAAGGAGCCAAGGTTTTAATGGTCACGCAGACTGAACGGCCAAAGCTGCACAGAGAAGTAGTCTTTGTAAAACAGGGCTGATGCCCACAGGAGAGTCAGCGTTTGGAGCCTCTTGCTGCGTTGTCTGTGTTGCTCTTGTTCTGCAGGCAGGCCCGTTTGCCAGGGATTTCACCTTTCAGCTGCAGTGAAATTCCTGAGGAATATATTTATTAGAAAAAGGGGTAAGTGGTTGCAAAGGAACAAACTAAAAATCCAATAAGCCTCCTTTCCTTCTAGTTCCTCTTGTCAGCCAGGAATCTGGGGACCACTGTTACTTGACACGGTTACTCGGGTGTGAAAAACGTGTGTAAGCTGGGCTAAATGTCTGAAGGGTGCGTGCTCTGTGCTGCAGCCCCCACTGGCTTCACGCATGTTTCCAGCGCTTTCAGGGTTTGAGTCCTCATTTGTAGTCATCTTTTCCTTTAAAACAGTCTTTCCTCATTTATGGATCTGAATTAATCAACGAAGCTCTGCGATTGGGTTTGGATTTTATTAAAATGACATCGAGACACATGCTCAGCAATTCACCACTTAAGTCCTAAGTGGGGCATTTTTACTAGATGGATCGATTTTTAAAATGACAGCATCTGTTTGCTTGTACACATTTATTTATAATTCTTCCCCAGGCGATTATAGCAGGAGCTTGGTGAGTAATAACCAGCTGTTTGAATTAGCAAGTGGGGGAAGCAGTTATTTGATCTGTGAAGGAGTATGGAAGCCAAGGCCAGAAGTAATAAAAACTAAACAGATGCCCCAAATATATAAACCCAAGAAGGGACTTGTAAATTACTTGAACTGTTGATTGGCAAAATTATATCAGATGGGTTGGAGATATCTAGAATTCATAGTTTCATAGTTTCTAGGGTCGGAAGGGACCTGAGCAGATCATCTAGTCCG